GTCGATGATGATCGAAAATTAATGACGAAATTTCTCTAACCGGAGCAGCTGTCCGATAATGTACGTGGCGCGAGGTTTTGGTGTACATTGTAACGGATTCCAGGTCAGCCGCGCGCGCTTAGCTCGAATAAAAGAGAGCCCGAAAAGGCCTCCGTGCGTCCCGACCTCGTTTTTTTTCGGGCCCCCGAAATCGAAAGTGTGCCGCTGGCAAAGGAAAGGCGGAACGAGACGGGCCACTCGAAGAAAGATACACAGGAAAAGAAAAAAAAGAAACAACAACAACAACAGCCTCTCGCACGTAAGTGCACGCAGCAGCTCCGAGATCGTCTATCCCGATGCTACTACGCTCGCGTGCAAACTCGTTTCCGTGTGACGAAACCACGAAATGGCCATTTTTTTTCTTTTTCTTTTTATAAACGCGTCTCTAGTTAGGTATATCTCGCGCGCTCACGCAGAGTCCCCGGGGGGGTTGTTGTTGCTCGTCGAGAAAGTTCGAGTCCTTGGCTGCAGGCTCTCGGATTTTTGGCCGACTTTCGTGCGTCGGTCAAGATTTTTCAGATTACAGTCTGTGTTTTTTTTGGTTTTTTTTTTTTCGACCCGCGCGATGATTAATCTTTGCTCGGATTTGAATCGCGACGGACAAGCAGCGACTCGGGTATTGCAATAGCGAAAAATCGGTCTCTTCTTCCGTAAAAACCCCCAAGAAGCTCCAATAACCAAGAATATAATTGTCTAGACAATTGCGCCAAATTAGCGCAATTGGCAGCGCCAAAACTTTCTCTCTCCTCGTCTCCCTTATGTATGTGTAGATGCCCCACGCGACCTGCCTTGCTATGGTAAAACCAGAAAAAAATGGCCCCCCGGGTTTTACAGGTACTGTAGGCTGGAGGTGGCTGCACCTCGCCATCCTGTAATTGCTGAAATTGAGGGATGGACATTTTTTGTCCCAAAGGGGAGGAGTATGCGGGATTAATTTTTTGGCTTAGTAAAAACCGTATGTAACAAAAGGACCGGCGTCGCCTCACGATCGACTTTTAATCCAAAGTTTCTCCGAGGCCGGTGAGATTTCGGACGCTCGCGCAGTGGGCGCCCCTCTTTTTTTTTTTTTTCTCCACGCGGAAGTTGGGCAACCGCGAAAACAGGGAGTCGAGAGGCCCGAGAAAGAGAAAGGCCCGAAAGGAGAGGCGGAGAAGGAGCCGGACCAGGGAGCCAGCCGAAACTCGAGGAACCACTTTCGGCGGCTTTCACCTCGTTCGTGTGCAGCGTAAGTGTATGGGTAGCCAGGGATCGGGGGATACGAGGCTCCTCTCCTTCGTTTATTAATGCTTTTTCTTTTTTTTTTTTTTTGCGCGCGTGTGTCCGTCCTCTTTCTCTTTTTCATTCGTATCGTATTTACACGCGCTCTCTATACGTCTCGCTCGCTTTTTTTTTTTTTTTCAAAGCTTGTGTGTGTGTGTGTGTGTTGGTTTTATACGGTCTACGGTTTAAAGGGACACGGAGAATTTTCGGTGAGATCGAGGTCAAGATCTCCGGGCTCGCGAGGAGTCAATTTCTGCTCTTTTCAATTGCACCTCTGATGGTTATTGTAGCAACGATGATGTGTATTGGCTGGATATAGTGTACATTTTGATACTTTAACACCCAAGGCAATATTTTATCGCTCATCATCGTCGTACATTTCATGTTTGGCACATTTATGTTACCATCGCGAGTTGATAAATCAAACGGTTGGCAAATACGTGCAACAAATCGCAATCCCATCATCGGAGGATATCAACAGGTTGGCTCTATCCTCGATCCTTTTATTACCCGCGTTTCTCAAGCATTCAAGTCTCTCTCTGCATCTCCCCCGTACTCGGTGTTTAAATTTACCTTTACTCGTACAATTTTTTTTTTTTCTTCCCCTCAACTGAATAATGCGCGCGCTTGTAAGTACCACTATCACGATCCATCGTACAATTCAATAAAGCGTATAATTCAGACGTGCCTTTATGTAATTGCGTACGTGCCATTACCTTAGCATAATAAAATGTGGAAAGATAAATTTCTTCCAATAAACGGCTGCTTGCAATTATCCTTCTTCTTCTTTTTTTTCCACCTATACGTTCGTATTCTACTCGTAATTTAACACGTTGGATGATTACACTCGTCGCCGTATTTTTAGATCCCATCCTGATGTTTTTTCTCCGAGAGTCAGTGTCAATCGCACAACAAGTGGATTTTTCAACCCATGTAATGCGTTGATTTGCGCACTTGGAGAGAAACCAATTAATTTTTTCGACCGAAAAATAGTTGAAAGATTTCGCGAACAATGAAACTTTTGGTTTTCGCAGAGATCAATTTGAGGCTTATCTCGGAAACAAAGCCATTCGTTTGTATTTCACTTGGATAAATAAAAGGCATGATTATAGATGATAAGCAATCGTTTAGAAAGTAATAAATCTCTATACGCCGGGAGTCCATAGTACGGCGCGTGTGTGTTATATGTGACGTACAAAAGCATGATTCCAAACCAAGTAATCTATATCTTGGCGCGAGAGATTTTTGCGCTTGGAGGTATTGGCAAATTACTCCATCAGACGAGTTGATTGAATTCTGTGAAATAAATGTTTCATTGGGATGTATCTGAACAGCTAGAATTTTTTTTTTTTTCATGTACCAAAAAGTTGATTAAAATATGTTACCAGTGTCGTATCGCATGGCCCAGCCGGAAGAGCAATAGTATTTGTAACTGAAGCATCGTACATAGCTCAATACGCAAGAACATTTTACTTGCAGAAATTAAATTAAATCACTACTGCTTTCCACCAGTCCTAAAAATCTAAGTTCACACAAGACTTCGTGCTCGAGTCCAACCGTCCCTGATGGAGAAGAAAACACCGCGTCTCCGCGCCATAGATCCCCTGCAATTTATGTACCCATCAAAAAGTGATATCCACGATCTCGCGTCACTCTCTCTTTTTCCCCAACAGACAACGCATCCTTATACACTCGATGGCAAGTCGTACCGGAGAAAAGTTATAGATACCTTTCTTGTGCGCGCACGCGTTGGGATTCCGGACAACGCGGAAGTGCAGTAAATACACGCTACAGCGAGCAGCTTTTCTTCAACCATGTTGATGCACGGACACGTGGACAGGGCTCAAGGTTCCTCCGTTTAAAAAATCTGGGTAAAATTATCGTTCACGGGCTAAAAGTGACACGTCACCATCGTCGTTATTGTTACCACGTCGAATTATATTAATTATCCTCAATTACAAATTTTCACGAGTTAAAAAAAAACGTACCTCAAGCACGACAACAACAGCGAGGCTTACGCGATGCGCAGTACCGTTAAACAATGTACAAGTAAACGAATGCCGCTATGGAAACTGAAAACGCGCCACTCTCCAACGGTATAAAAAAAAAACACCGCAAATAATGCTCACGCGGTGATTATTGGAAAAAATTTCACTTCGGCTCTGTTGGACCGTTTTTTTTTTTTTTAATTATTATTAAATGTTACGCACGTGCAAATAGCGGATCGAAAAGAAAACGAAAGTTTTTGTCTCTCCTGTATAGGTGTTATTTTTAGAGCAGAGGAAAAATAAACTACTACGTGCACTCTTAATGCATAAACCGATGATGGAGATAAGTGAAAATCAAACGGGAGGACGTGTAATGTACCTGACGCGTGTCTCGATACTTTACCTGCACCGTACACATAATGCGATGAAAAGTGTCCCCGCTTATCTCGTTAGAGTGACAGCTTACCAGGGAATTTAAATGGAACCGATGCAGTTTCTCTCGCTAGGGTGGAAAGCGATCCGTGAAAAATGTCCAAAATCGAAAAGAGATAACGCGATTTTTGCGTGTACACGCAACACAAAGTACGGCAGACGGAAAAATTCTTGGGCTCAAATTTTATTGTAAAATGAAAATAAGTGCACCGTTAACCAGCGGCTGTTCACTTCCTGCATGTTCCACGTGTGTCTCGTACACGTTTCACTTTACGAGCTCACATATACGAGATGTTGGCACAAGCGTTGACTTTCATATTTTCGATGATAACTTTTTTTTTTCTATTTCCCCCAACTTGGCGTCCGATAACCCAAGCATAAATTGACAGAGTCCGGCCAGTCTACGTTGCTCCCCGCGATAAAATATCTAGAAAAAACACAAAAAAAAAAAAAAAGCTCAAACCGTTTGAGTTAATTAAAGGACATATTATATGAAACACCGCCACGAAAGAGCAATAAAAGGGAGGAGACGGCGGTATATATTATACATCACGCGTACGTTATCGTGAGAAAAAGGAAGAGTCTTTCTAATCAGCGGAAAAAAGCGCTTTTCATTTCACGTAACATTGTAGGTGCATTACCCCGCGAGAGATAAAGATGTAGTACCTATAGACATTTAGGATACTCGTAGAGTGTAGGGACCGATCAAATATATGAACGTATAGGGAAAAAGCTCGCTCGGAAAAATCCACTCGTGCACTGGCGCTTGTAAAGTAAATGAAAAAAAAAAAAAAAAAAAATTCAACTGTGGAAGACCATGGAAGGAGGGAAGTATAACGGTGAGCTCGTACACGGGGCATCATGGGTGGGTATATATAGGTACCTCCAAATAGAAAGAGAAAACCCGGCCGGTCTGCATCATCCGTCCGTCTGACCGTATAATCGGTATACCTACTTACGCCCGTGTGTGCTTTTATATATAGCTCAAGCTCTCCTCTCGACTTCCGCCTTCGCTCTCGCACGAGCTATATATACCGCGGAGTAGATATAGTAGGAGGCTTGTGTCTCCCCCCACCCCCTGGCGCCTCTCGAGCCGCTCCCCACCCATTAGGTCGGGCCAATCGGCGGCTGGCGCGACACCCTCTCTTCCTCTCGGGCCGCTATAGGCAGCATCGGCGGAGAGCGTGTGTTACAACCACCGACAGCGGCGGCGGCCACCCCCTCTCGGAGCGAGGCGGGCGGCAGGCAACGTGCTCTCTCTCGGCTGGCTATACCGCTGCCGCGAGCACCCAGCGTTTTGACAGTCGTCGCGACGACGTACTCGGACGCGTCGCGTGTGCTCGCTGCGGTGCGTGTAGTAACATCCGTATATATACATAAGCTCAGATCGGCTCGAGTGTAGCGCGGCTTGTCTCTTCCATTCTTTTGTTTCGTGATTCGGGAGTCGTTGCATTTATTCGAAGCTCCCGACAAATGGGTGCTTGCACGTCTCGAGGCAAAAGCTCTCGTGGTGTTTCGACTCGGTGAGGCTGTTGGTCGATCGCGACGATGCTCTGCGGGCGAGCGATTGCGCGATAAAGCGCTCATCTTTGCCGGCTCAAGGCCATCGCCTGTACGCGCGACCACGAGCACGTCGTACATATATTTTCCTATCGGCCGTTTGTGTATCGCATGTACTTTCCCACCCTCCCTTCCTCCCCCCACCAGACAGTGGGTGGTTGTTGATTACAGCTGTGTGCCGTCTTGTGCTCGAAAGGGACCATCACCTTTGATCATGTGTGCCCCGTGCATGTGATGTTCTTTACAAGCATATATATATGTGTGTGGTTTTTTTTACGTGGGTGCGTGTATACATACAAACGAACACAACGGTGACCGGCGAGTGTCCACGATAAATTGTTGATGCGTCGCAGGAACTATAATTTACAATTGGAGAAAATTGTGTTGATTTGTCGAAAGTGCGCGCGGACAGGGTGTACAAGTGGGTGCGCGGTTGCGCGGCCAAGAGACTTAAATGCCTCGCTAGAGCCGCGAGTGCGCCCCCCTGAGTTTTGATCCCCCCCCCCTCTATTGGATAAAAGTAAAGAGTTGAACCCCTTTGAACTGTAAAAGGAAGAAAAAAAAAAAAAAAAGAAAAATGGAGTACCAGCAATTGGTACCGCCACCTGTGCCGAGTGCGCTGCTGCACCACCCCCAACAGCAGCCACAGGGTCCTCAGGCTCCGCATCCGCACATAGTTGTCGCGCCTGCGCACAATCCGCAACAGCAGCCACCCCAACCGCCTCCGCCCTCGTCGATGCCCCCGACAACCCACGCCCACCAGATACACGCGCCCCTGCCATCGCTCCACGAGGACAGCGCGAGCAGCAGGTGGACCCAGTACCAACACCTGTGGCGCCAGCATCACGTTTACATGAACGGTAACATCCATTCACGATCATACTCCCATATATCATCCATCATCGCGTTCTTTCACATTTCGGGCTATTTGCATAATATTATATATATTGTATACAGGTAAAACAGATATTGTTTTGTGAAAAGTCGTCACATATACCCATCTCTCCCACCGAGGGCTTTAATCTCGGTGCTGTTTTTTTTTTTTTTTTTTTTTTTTCACATGTTTACGTTGTGCAGAAGAAGAAGAAGAAGATGACCGAGGAGACAATGTATTTATAGAAGCCATCGGCTTGATTATCTGAATAATATATAGTCATGGGATTCAAATGCGCGATGGAAATAAACACCCCCCTATTTTCTCTGTGTCTTAGATACATATATATATAACGTGATCGTTGTACGGGTAAACGATAAGATTATCGGTGCAATGATTCTCATCGCTGCATGGTCTCATTGTCCCTCGCATCACCAATAACGCGTGTGCGCACACTTTGACGTAATATTGCGCCGAGACAACTTTTTTTTTGTTTTTTTTTTCTTTTCTTTCATTTCGCTGCAATTACATAAGAATTGAAGCCAGATATGGATAAATGTGTACACAAGCGTTATATATTACGAGCCGCCGTCGTCTGGCTGGCAGGTCGGATCGGTCGAGATATATACACTTTCGAAATTACTTGATTTTTTTTTTTATTAAAAACGCTTTCAACAAATACGCGTCCCGAGTGGATTTTTCTACGAGCCACGTCACGTATTCGAGCGCCCTGTGCAGGGCCACCCTTAGCAAAACACTGTTTGGTTGTGACGCTCGGCAAGTCAACCCATGATTGTTGATATACATTTGTATGGTATATCCTCACATGGCAAAGTCGCCCGCGTTTTTTTTTTTGCGTCCGCTAGTGCAAGTAGGAAAATTAAAATGAAAAACTACGCCGATGATAATGAGTATCGAGCACATCTGGTTTGCAAACGATACCAAACCGAGGCATCGCCATGAGCGGCTTGAGGTCAATGGAGTTAAGGTTGCCGTGCAATAATACCATACATATTCTCTCTCCATAGAAAAACAAAATATCGGTTCAGGAAAACGAGTGTACGTATGGTCCGCCGACAAGCGCATGGAAATGTATTATGTGAATGTGCGGACGCACGCGCGTGCAGCGACGACGACGGGCAATTTTTATCGGCGATAAAGAGCGCTCGCCTTGAAAATCTTTCTTTTCATTAACGCCGGCCGACCTTCCGCTCCCGGCTCCGCTGGAATAAACATTATTCAAATAAAAATCGATCGTTCATCATTTTGCTTTTCGATTCCGCTCCACCTTTCCTCGTGGGCTGGGATTTACGTGTTTTCATGAAATGTATAGGTATATATACTGTAATACGTGGACATAGTAAAAAAAAAAAAAAAAGGGGGGGGGGGGGAAAGGAGGTGTGTTTTATCTCTTGGAGCAAACAATCCACGAGAACGAGAAGGAGCTTGGTCGCTTTTTCTTTCAGCGGTGGAGCTCCTTTCGGTGTGTGCACGGTTTCGCGCTTCTTTCAGAAAATAAACTAACACGACACGCATGCAGAGTAGGACCCGAGAGGAGAGACTAAGAAGAAGAAAACAAACAAAACAAAAAAAAAAAAAAGAAAGAAATACTAATTATTTGTGTGGCTCTTGCATAATGGGCCGGCGATTGCATATTTCGTGCTACATGTATACGTGCACGTACGTACATGTGTGTGTGTGTGTGTGTACGATATACACGCGCGAGCGCACGCGTTATCGTTTTCCTCCTCTCCGTCTTGTGCATGGGCTGCTTCAGCGTGTCTCCTCGTAACTTATTTATGCTAATCGCCACGTGGCCACCCGCGAAAGACCCCGCGTGCACACACACAACAATGCCGGGAAGGTCGTGAAATTGTCCCCGTTGCTTGAGTCGTCGTCGGTTATTTCTTTCTCTCCTTCCATCCATCGTTGTGCCTTTTTTTTTGAGAAGAAGAAGAAGAAGAAGAAGAAAGGCACGTCTGTTTGAGCGCATAATGCGGCTCTTGGAGAGTCAGGTGCAAAGAGCGACAGGCGAATCAACGTGTGTACAACCGATACTGCACGTTGTGTCCCACCCACTTGTTTAGTGGAAAACATACAAGTTGTCGCCGGTGTCAAGGCTTTTCGCGCCTCGGTTTTTTTTTACCTTTATCATGAAGGTGTGTATATACCTATATCTTCGAAGAAGACTCGAAGAATACAATCCTTTCTTTCGGGTGTCTGTCGTTCCCCTTTTTTTCATACCATAATCCAAACAGACGCGCTATCGTTTCGCTCGCGACATCAAATACACGCGGCTTTGGCCAAAAGAGCGCGTGTACAAAGAGGAGAAACAACTGCTTTCGTTTTAATATACCAACCAAATAAGTGTAACGAAAATAAAAGGTGGAAAAAATGCACGACGACGGTAATTCACGCAGTACAACATCAAATAATATAATCTCACGTAAATGTTGCTCCGATTCCGAAATTCACGGTCGTATCGGCATCTCGATAAACACACGACGCGCGGTAATCGCGTGTATCTCAACGTTTATTTTTTTTTTTTTTTTTACAAGTAAACGCACAGAAGCCGAGAGTCTGGCTCTTATGCAATCGTTGCACTTGCTCCAGCTGTTAAATCATTGTTTACGCCGCGTTTCGTCATCTTTTTTTTTTTTTTTTTTTTTTTCCTTCGACCGCCTACATGTCCCCTTTTCGTCGCAATATTTTTTTTTACACTTCCCCTTCTTCATCGTATCGAGCAACGTGACGTTATGGCACCCTCTAATTAGAGAAAAAAAAAAAAAAAAGCAGAAACATCATTAGTCCCAAGCGCGCAAAGCACAGCGTGGCTCGTTATCTTTGTCCGAAAAAGCTCGCACACCCATCCAGACGAACATCGATGTCGCACCCACTGACAGCCAAGCTTTCACCTCATCAGCACTTTATGCACCACACACCAACCAACAGCTCGTACAGCATATATGCACCCTCGCCGATAGATGTAATCCTCTTTTCTCCCCGATGCTCATGAGGCATGCAAATATAATATATGAACGTGGCATGTTTTAACATACACCCTCTCTCTCTTTGCAGCCTTCCTCTTCCGTGTATACTATGTATTTATAGGTATATATTGTAATAAGCTCTTTGTTTGTGTGTGTACGCAACACGTATAGGTGTAGGCATGTAGCTCGGAAGTGAATCGCGCAGAGCACGTGAACTGCTTTTTTTTTTACTTCCCCCCTTGTTTTCCCCCGTACTTGTGTGCAAATACGTCGAACTGTGTATTATGCACCCACTTGAGTGCCCACAGTTATGAATTTTACGCGATAAATTTCAATACGTCTATCCGTTTGCGTATATGCGAGCATACAAATGTGTATTTACATGCTGTGCGGCTTCCTTAGGCGGATACATATATAAGTGTATTTGCATCTCCTCGTGATGCTCGTGATCTTGCATGTAACATGTATATTTTTTCATTACATATTCCAGCAAAACCGTACTAAAATGAATAAATGTAAGATTCTTTTCTTTTTTTTTTTTTTTTCTTTTTATTTCAATATAGCGCTTTAAACTATGCGATGCGGAAGTCGTGAATGGATTTTGTTTTGACGTCGGATTTTTTATACAAAGTACACGTGTTCGCGTTTCGTGTGAGCTTGTTGGGAACAATGAATGGAATGATGCTCTTTTCCTTTTTTTTTTTTTTTATTGACGTGTGTAATTTACATCAGTTCGCTGGAAGCTTCGAAAGCTCCCTACCAAGTGAAAATAGTACAGTTCGTACACCCATCCTCGTTAACTGTAAGTGGTATATCTCTCCCGTACATCGATAAACCCGGGAAATCCCCAAAATCATATACATAATTAAAACTGAAACCCGATCGAAAGGCATATGTCATATACATGCGGATCCGTCTGTCCAAATTCGACCTTATCTACTGATGCGAGCTTCAAAGTGTGTGCGTTTTATATATATTATATATGTATCTCAATCGGCTCCGGCCTTCGGTTACCACATCGTGTAAAGTATCAAGGCCGGGTTTTCATTAAATTTCACGCACCGTTTTTTTCCCCATCTCGTCGGCGTTTCAACATTATTTTTACGATCTGTAAAGGAAAAAAAAAAAAAAAGATGAGTCGAGAATTCAGAAGAAACGACATTTACTGATGATGATGGCGATAAAAAAAGGAATGAAAAAAAAAAAAAAAAAAAGTAGAAAAAGAGAGAGAGGGACGCTGAATTGATCACTTGACTCTGCGTATGTACGGCGTGTATGTATATATATATTATGGAGAGCCTCGCCGGTGCATCGCTTACGTCGTTACATGCTCTCGTTTTCTCTCCCGTTGCGTCTGTGCACGACATATACACACGCAACAGTAGTTTAATGAGCGTAACATGTGTGAGCAGTTTAGGCGCACGTGGGTCGTATAATGCATCGCTCGCCATCAGAGTAATATACGCATACACGCATGAGACACGAGCTCACACATACTTATATACGGTCTGCTTGCATGTAAGTATAATCTGGAGCAGAGGACGTTGCAAGCACATCGAACTTGTTCTTCGTCTTTTTATTTTTTCGATCGCCATTCACGTTCGACGTCGAGGATTGTTCATTGTTGCGATTATTATTATCATCATGGGTGATTACAAAAATTTTTTTTTTTTGTTTTTTTGTTATTTTTGCATCGAATCGCGTTGATCAATAGCGAGGGGCGATAAGGAGCTGTTTAAGAGTTGATTTTATTCGGTCAAGGTTTAGATAAGAGAAAGTCTTTTGTGGGGGGGTATTCTGTATACTCAAAATTCAACGAGAACAATGAGGTGTTTGTGGAACACGACTGTGAGAGCCTCTTTTTTTTCTCTTTCACGCTAAGAGCGTAATTTTTTTTTTTTTTTTTTTTCTCACATTTAAAAAATATTTGATCGAGGAGGAAGGTTTTTTTCAGTCAAACTTGTGAATGTATATAAAATTGGACATGCAGGTTTTT